GCAAAGATGTCATCTCTGAAGTAACTTAGCTAGATCTATACGTCATTCACACAAACTTCAGTCACAATTTTCTCTTTATTTTTTAATATTTCGAGACGAAGATGCTTCAACTGGATATTTAACCTAGAAATAGACAAGGGGAAACCCTGATGGTAACAGACAGGCTGACTTTGTTTGAAGAATGTACTTATATGAATAACAACAAAGATTTATAAGTACTTTATTTGCCGGTCCACAGGGACTGTCAGTCACATCAATTACCAGTCCAAGCCTAATTTTACTGGTAAAAAACTGGTAAACAGGAACACTGTATACATATATTGTTTATTGTTAAATTGAGCTAATGGTTAGCTAACATTTATACTCCTTTTAATGTTTTACGCCACACTCAGCAATATTCCCGCCATATGATGGTGGCCTGTTTATGATGATAAACAACAATCCACATAAATCAGGGTATGATGTCATGCAATCAACCAAATAACTGAGTTTGACCACCATGGGATGTTGGGGTCCTATAATAAACACAGAATAATCACAGGGCTTAAAATGAGCTTATTATTGAGTGTAGTAAAGTGTGAGTCTAATTCTGTTATTCCACAAAGAGAGTGACTCAAAACAGTAGGAATAGTGCCTTCCCACTGACTCACTGTACCAGTTATTGACATAGCCTAATATGATCTCACACTCCTCTTTGTTTATGCAAAATACTTCCTTAATGCACTTTAGGTCAACCAGAAAATTAAAGTACTTTGAAGAAAGAAAAAAATATATAATAGTTTGTTGGACAGAAACCTTCCTTTCTTACAAGTTATTAATTAACATTTATTATTGTAAGAGAGCAAAAATACATTTTCAACATGGCAGCAAAGAATAACAGACTAAAAGAATTTGAGGGAAATACATAAATATGCATGTTTTTATCCATTTTCTCAACATGCTCAAAAATGTGCACACTATCACGTTTATATTAGCACTTTATTATATATGTTGCTAAAATATTTTTAAAAGTTAAAAACTATTAGATATATATATATATATATATATATATATATTTATTTTTTTCTGTAAAACTTTTAAGGCTTCAGTTATTTACCTATAAATGCTTCAATAGTGAAGTGTGAATTGGTGCAGCGGTAAAAAAATTGCTACTAGCTGACATTATTCTGTTTTTGGACAGTTAGATTAAATAACAGATTTTCAAAGAACCTACCTAAGCAAAAGTTGTATACTCCTAATACAGATCAGTGGACATCCTTTTCTAAAAACCAACAAAATACTTATTTTTTTTATTTGTTCAACACTTCAACCTTATTGTGACACCCAACTTTATACTTAATTTGTTCAACAATGGCAGCCATGTGGTCATTTTAAACTTTCAGATCAATTCAATTTAAGCAATGAATAAACACACCATTTACAGACCTAAGGGCTAAAAATCTCATCGTTCAAATGATGAAAAGCATACTCAGTTCCAAATGAGAGTCGGAATATCAATGATGTATATAAATTTCACATGGTATACTAAGACTGATATTCTTCCTTATCAGAAGAGACAAAAGTAGTGTCTGTCTAGTCAGGTAATGAGATATCAAGGATTACTGTAGGAGCAAAAACATTGTCCTGACCTAAAAATATTTCTGAAGAAATTACTTTCTCTATTAATGTGCATGTATAAACAGATTCTCTGAAACATATATATTACCTCATAATCAAAGACAAGACAAATTGCTGATGTTACTCATTCCATTCTTAGAAAACTAGTGGCAATGCACTGTGGAGTACAGGTGCATGTACATTCCAAATAAGCCTTATGTTATACGAAATCAAACTTACAGCATGCCAAACACCACAAGCCATTAAGTGCATTGAACAAAGGAAAGTATGGCTGTGTAATGTGGTCGTTTGGATGTGAGATATAGCTCAGTCTGATAAGAAACATAGTATCATATGTTATTAAACATTCATGTTTATTACCACCACATTTGGCAAAGCAGTTTCTATGCAGTAAGAAATGGTAAATTTCCAACATCGTAACAATGGCCACAGTGAGTATATTTTCTCAATCTAAAACCAAGATAACATCAGGTAGGTAGGTAAAAATGTGACAAACTGAAAGTAGGATATTCATAATATGACATATTTATGTTGATTAAAGCATTCATGCTAAAATGCACAAACTTGAGTTCATGAATCACAATTTGACTGTTGCTGTTACATAAACAGCACGTATACTTGGCTTGCTACCTTCATGAACTTAAAAGCTGTTGACATCTAACATATTTCACTACAATAAAAATTCTGGCATATTTCTCTTTTGAATAATGAATAGGTTACACAACAAAGATACTGAGCGGCATATTTTGGATCGAAATGAATGGGAAAGTTAGTGAAAAACATGATAAACAGCATTTGTCCATTATCATTTCTTATTGACATAGTTATCAATACTTTCAAGAGTATATAACAGCATCAAAGTCATCTATTGATACTTTTTACTGTTCACTTGACCATGGCCTATTGCATGGACAGTTTGGTCCATCATTACACCCATTATCAGGAAGAACTGTTCTTGTAGTGAGTGAGTGAGTGAGTATGGTTTTACGCCGCTTTTAGCAATATACCAGCAATATCACGGTGGGGGACACCAGGAATGGGCTTCACACATTGTACCCATGTCGGGAATCGAACAATTTGAAAGCATTCACTAACCCAGCTAGCGTTCACTAACCCAGCTAGCGTTACCTTACCACCTTTCTAATAAGGCCTACGTTGACGTAAGTTGTGGACACAAATGAATTGTCTCTTTTACCATTGTTTACACTTTTTGTTTTTCAAATTAAATTTTGGTTAAGTATTTGTAATTAAGTATGCCCTACAGTACCAAGTCATAATTTATGAAATAGATCTGCAAACATAGCGTTTTCTCTGGTACAATACACATAAGAATTACTAGCTTTATACATCACGTACATTGTCTACTGTCTAGATTATAACATAAATCTGCCCAAGCAAACTACAAAGTACTGTAAAACCTGCAAGTGGCACATATACACAATATATATATATACACAATTGTTTGAACACCATCATGAACATGATGAACATGTAATTGTAGAATTAAACAAAACAAGATTAATGATGGCACATATCTTTATTTCATCTTCAGATGATGTATCGCTTGAAAGGAATGTGAATGTTAATTGGCAAATTAATAATAATAATTCATTAAGACATATGCATACATAAAACACCTAACTTTGTATTTGCTTAGTCTGGCTGATTCCAAGTTGTGCCAAACCTGACAAATGGTCTTAACTGTGTTCTTGAAAACAACACAAGGAGCAAAGTAGACACAATTTATGGATAACAACTTCTTACATAACTGTAAAGGCAACGTTTCGGTATAGATCTTTATGTCGCTGTCAAGCAAGACTGAATGCTGAACATGGTACAGAATATATATAAATATAAATTGAAAATGAAATACAAGGGGATACAACCCCCTTAGACCCGTAACAGCACAAAAAGCCTCATATCCATCCTTGTCAATACAAATCTAATTGATTTATTGCAAAAGAAGTCCCACGGTAGATAGATAGTGTTTGGACCGGCAATGTTTAGATGTGTGCAACGTCAATAAATATCTAATAAACTGCACTCTTGTGCACAATGGTGCATAATTATGAAAACTACCATACCATTTTTTTTTTAAAAACATGCTTACGGTATTAATTCCCATTTACAATCCATTCTTCAACAAAGTAAGTTGAAACCGAAAAACAATACATATTGTAAATATAAATGCTTTTTATGGCCTTCTATAAAATGTGTCGCTACTGGCTATATTTAGTAAACAGAATATCAAAAACACTCAACATCGCTTGGCTAATTCAATGACATTGCTGATACAGAGATGGGGTCTAAAATAAGTAATCATGATTTAAATATTGTCAATGTTGGTGGAGAACGCATGTTCATCGCGAACCCCATGACAAATAGAGAAATATGAAGAAGCCGAAGAAACTATTCATATAATCATGATAATACCTGTGATCTTAACACTTAAAGTTTAGGTTGTGCTGGAACCACTGTTTCCATAATCATGAATAAGTGGAAAGTCATGCTTGGTTCGGTCCCAATATTAACACGTTTTACGGGGAGCAGACAAATAGGCTACGTTCCAAGGGAAGTAACCCATAACGTACCTGCTACAAGGAAGTAAATATTCCTCAAATCCAAGTACCAACGTCAAATAATACCATTTTCACACACGCAAATTAACTTTGAACATTATAACGCTTCACGCAGAATACAAAATGAACATCCTTCATAAAAAGAAGCAAATGATTTCACGAATCATCATAAAATGGACATTTCAAACATGCAACAACATGAAAATTCAAACGAATGGATATTTTGTCGAGAATTTATTAATTTAATTTGATGCTACAATACTCATTAACATTCATTAAGAATTCGAAAGCACATGTGAATTCAAAGAAAGTGTTTCCGTAACAATAAAATAGCTTACGGAAAGAATACAAATTGTTATTTCAATTTAGCACATGCAATGGATAGCTTTTCAGTTAGTCTAAGTGGCGTTTGTAGGCCTCGCTAGGTAAGTATCATCTATCATGCTCGTTCTGATGAAACACTACCATTTGGTTATAATGAGGGGTTAGTGATTATTGGACTTGATTATATCGCAACTCTTACCGGTTTCTGAAAAATTAATTTTGAGTTTTTCAATTTCCGTCTAGCAAACTCTTGACCAAAAATGGCTGCCGCGTGGTTGACCTCTCGCATGGGGATTGACCTTTACCCTAGTTTGAAAGATACGGTCGGTTTTTATCTTTTATAGCCAAAATCGAGGTTTAGTTTGGTTCTAATATATCATATGGTATTTATCGAATAAAAACATATAAAAGTTTCTGAATGGTGCCCTACATGCATGGAAACATTAAATGTGTGTGGTCAGGTCTAGTCAAACTCGGGTAAGTAAACATACCGCCAGTCAAGATGAAAGTTGCAAGGTGTGGATATGTGAACGATTTACACTAAGTTGGTCGTGCTCGCAATACAAAATGTTAGTAGAGCTTGTTACCTAGATTATTGAATTAGTTTTGTTGAAGGCAGCGAATTTTGGAACGTATAATAAATAGGCCTAGGTGAACTTGGGCCTCTCTTGATGTTGTTGAAGTAAACTTTTGGCCACAGTACTAGGCTAGGAGATGCTCCGCTGATGTTGCTAGTCTTGATAACAACACTCCTCATCCAACATTTAACGTGAAGGGTTGAAAAAAACCAAGACCCATTTACAGCTCCTTTTCATCCATGCCGTTAACTTATATTTAATCTGTTGCAAGAGAAAATAAAATTTTCTTCTGGACATAAAAATTGGGACAGTTGATTCTGTTCCCAATAACTGCTTGAATCATAGTTCATTGACATAGGGCCTAATACCTTGTTGATGGTGTGTCATTTTGCCCAGATGACAGGACTTGTCGTTCATGCAATCATCCATTGGTTTGACCTAGCACAAATTTCATTATTTCCCACCAACTACAGCCGTTATTTAGGTGCAGTACTGTTTATTCTCTGTAACAACGTTTCAGGTCTACTTCTTGTCCCATCATCAGGTGAATACTAAACAAGCAACTTGAGTTGGTATAAATAAGCTGGAATGTTTACACACAGTGTGATTAATGTACAAAGATTACAATTTACAATAAGAAGCCAATGGGATTAACGGAAGATTAAGTACAGTGCATATTAGGGCTAGGACGAGTCCAAAAGTAATACCCACATCCCTGTTACCTGACCCTACCTGGGTACCCGCTGTTGGTGTCAAGAGATAGGTACAAAATGGGAATAGTTTGACAGTAGCCCTGGCAAAATGTATTTAGATACACGTATAATACAATGTGGTCATGCATACACTGAAGCTGACTGAAGTTTTATCTTTGTTCAAACATATGTAAGGCAGATGGAATGCGTCCATAGACATGAAGAAAAGCGAACGTTAGAGACTTAAAGTTGTTGTGTAACCATAGTGAATATTTGTCATGAAACAATATATCACTTGACTAACCACGGGTCCGCGTAGTCCTGTGGGTACCTGGGTCCTACTCACTACCCACCCGATCCGAATTACCCGTCCCAAGAGTAGTGCATATGTAGTGATGGCGCTGGATGTTATAACAAAGACGTCACTGTGGTAACAATAAGACTATCAAGATATCCATTTGCGATTTATTAGAAGGTTAAAGACCACTAGGGCGAGGAATGTTTTTCTGGTTGGTTTATGGAATGTTGGTTTGTTCTTACTTTGTTGATGGTCTAAGTTTTTGGTAAAATATGCTCTTCAAATGGACATGTCATGGTCAAAATAAAATGTGAACAAAAATCGAATTGAGTTTTCTGCGCATTAAAAAAACTACATTGTACCCCTTCAGGTGAATGAACAGGTGATGACAAGGTCAACTAAAATGTGAAATTTGCAATATAACATCTTAGACATAATGATTTTCCATTTAAATTTTATTTTCTGTTCTGCTAGGTATTGTTTTATTTGCAGTTGTGGTTTCTCATAAACTAAGTTGGGAACTGCAATCAGCTGTACACACATTCTCCAGGATCTATAGTGATTCACTGTGCTGAGTTGTGTCCCTTGGTCATGCCAGAAACCTATGATTGTGGATTAAAATCCCGGTTTGCCCCGATTATGTTGCTAGGTTTGTCAGCACCATACCCGTGCTCGTTGGTTTCACCGAAGTGGTAAACATCTGAGACCTGTATCACTTCGGGCTTTCCTCCCACATAAAGCTGACACGCCATGATATAACTGAAATACTGTTAATAGCGGTGTTAAACCCAACTCAATCACTCACCTAATGTGTTATTTCAAATCTGAATTAGAGTTAAGCGCCCCCTTTGCCCCATTTTTACAATAAAATAGCTTTAATCATAACCTGCTAGCAGTTTCACGATGGAAGTCAAGATTAACCATGCAGCAGCTTTCACTCGTATTGGGATGTTATTAGTTTTCACCAATCTATCAGTATTACTTCTGGTTGTATATTTGATAAATGTTATTTCTTGCCAAGAGAAGACAAATTTTGAGCAACATATTCATCCTGGTGAAAAGACAAAAGTGAAAAGTAAAAGTAATGGGATGCCACTTTTCTTGCAGGTAGCAATGAACCCTCAGTCTTGTGAGGTGCAGATGAGAGCAAGTAACTGGATGTCGAATGCAACCAAGAGTGTTCCGCTGGACCTTTTCAATGATGAGGCCGACATTTTTGCCTTTGCTGACAGACCAGCACCAACGGAAGAACCGGGAATACGCTTCCGTAAGATTCCAAATCAGAATGTTGTGCATCGTTTGATGAACAGAGAAATTCATGCAGCAAAGTCAGGAAATCAATTTCATCAGGCAAGAAAGTTTTACACCAATGTTTTTCCAAATTACACTGTCATCAATGTTGAGAAACCTCCGTGCTTCCTTAGAAAGTTTTCACCAAGTGGGCGCTACTTTATAGCATTTTCATCAGACCAGACATCAATAGAAATATATGAGTTTCAAGGGTCAGCTTCAGCCGAAGATCTGATCAGTAATCACAAAGGCGATGTTCTATCAGTGTCCTCAGACCAGGCATCGCAGCAAGTTCGTAATGAGTTGTTTGAGAGATTCTTTAAGTTAAGACATACAACAACTGTTGCCCAGAATGGAGAACATTTGAACCGGGAGTGCAGTTTGTTCACCGACGATGGCAACTATGTCATCGTCGGGTCAGCTGTGTATCTCCCGGAAGACCCTCACCCTCATTTCCATGACATGTACCGCAATAACGAGTCTGTCCCGCCAAACCAAAGGTCACCATTGGAGGACTATTCCTTGCATCTTGTGGAGCTTGAGACGGGGAGACTCTGCGACCGGCGCCGCTTCAAGTGTGATAAGATTTTCCTGTCTCACAACCAGGGCCTGTACTTGTACAAGAACACTCTATCGGTTCTGTCTGTGCAGCAGCAGACAATCCACATCTTTCAAGTGACTGCTGATGGTCAGTTTGTAGATGTCCGAAGCATCGGCCGCTTTTGTTATGAAGATGATGAACTCCTCTACAGACAGGGCTTGGACCCCCGCAATCGCAACCATCCTCGCAGTGAAGAAACCGTCAATTCACTCAAACACAGACTGTTAGTGTTCTTGTTTAACAGGGCCAGACATGAAGGTACATTGTATGCTCTCAGGAAATTCTATCAGTACTTTGATCAGTTCAGAGCACTGCGAATGTGGAAGATGCAGTTGCTGGATGAGAATCATTTGCTGATCAAGTATGCCAGTGAGGACGTTGTTACACTCCGCATCCCAGATCCAAACTCACAACCATCGTTTTTCATTGTCTATAATATGATCACAACTAAAGTCGTATCTGTGTTTGAGAACACATCAGAAGAACTTCTTGAGCTATTTGAGAATTTTTGTGACTTATTCCGCAATGCCACGCTCCACAGTGAAGCCCAGTTCACATGTTCGGTGTCCAGTAACATCTATGCTTGGCAGATCCAGCAGAGATTCAAACAAACGATCATCAATGCAAAGTTTGGAGGCCGTGTGGAGGCAATTCGACGTTTGCTAGCCCAGCTTCCAATCAGTGCACAGTCGTACAGCAGCTCCCCCTACCTGGATCTGTCCCTCTTCAGCTATGATGACAAGTGGGTGTCTGTGATGGAGCGACCCAAGGCGTGTGGAGATCATCCCATCAGGTGAATAAGAGGCTCTCTGCCCATGGGTTTTATTGCAATACAGAGTCTTTAGGTTTGGGAACTGAAAAAGTAGGATGTTTCTGTTTCAATTTTGGGTCACTGCAGTTGAGGGTCTTATTTGAATATGTCAGTAATCCAAGTAACAAAACCATGTCCCATAAATTGTACACAATACAAATTTCAAAATCTTTAGGAAATGAAAATATTTTTGATTGAAACAGTGAAACCATTTAATTTGAAGATTTTGAGATCCTCAAAACATTTCAAGGCAGGCATGGTACCAGCATAACCAATATTGGTCTTTAATAGTGCCAAGATAACCTAAACATTTAATGCTCATGATGATTAGCTTTTTCTCGATATTTTATATTTTGAAGTTGATTGTTTAGGATCATGCTCTTAAATTCTCTCCAAATGCATTTTTGGCTTTGTGAACCTATCTGACTGAAATTTGGCATGTGCATTACTTGTTATAGTGACATCATAATTTTTTACTTATCCTGCATTACTCCGTAATGCATATTACTGCTTGAAGAAGTTGTGCCAACAAGCTGAGAGGCCACCCCTGTCACATAGCTCCCACGTGACCAAAGGAAGTGACGTCACGGATCTTCACATTACTCTTGTCACTTACTGAGTGAAGACCTGTTTTTCATCTGTAGCATAAACTTGTTCAAACCCTCACGTGTTTGCTCCTTGATGTAATGTTTATTGTCTTTGTGTTGTGCATACGGTTTGTATTTTGTACATTTTATGTTTGATAACATGTGCATAACATTTTTTTAACCTGCTGGCTTTTTTCTTTTAAGAAAACAAAAGCCATTTTGAATATTTTACTTGGCCAGTAAGTTATGAACTCGCCTCTGTTCTATATTCTTCTTGCTTGGTGATTTTACACTGCTTCATTGCAGATACCATGCCCTCCTGCTGAAAGGCCCGTAATATGTCGGCGTGGGATCCCCACCCCCTGTGCCTTAATTGTACATGTCAATTCCTCCAGGGTTCACGATGTAAAGAATGTCTTCCACTTCCCCCCACAGCTTTCAGATAGTACCTCCTTGTGTCAAGAAAACAGATCTCAACAGGCCAGGAAACACTGGCACAAGATGTCTGACCTCTCCGAGAATTTGCCCAGTACTAAATCGCCTATGTCGCACAACAACCAGTCTCTACCAAGAGCACCCTGACGACCACTACTACGTCTATCTTTACAGCGGCGGCCACCACCATGAGGCCCGGCGTGGCGCTCTCCTACCCAATGGCACCTATCAAGTCCACCGGACAGACGCATGGCTCCCAACAGGCGCCCCCGCCTACGGCACAGATGCTTATGATAGATGCCTCTCTCCTCCAGTACATCCAGTACTTACAGGCCATGCAGATGCCAACGCCTATTGCCCCAGCGCCTATACCTCTCATTACTCCTTGGACTCAGCTTCCCCAAGTTTGTCCTTACGTCGGAGTGATAGTCGGTGGTCTTGTAGGGGTCCTCGATCTAGGAACTGCTCCCCTGTTCGCAGACACTCTAGAGGCTACCGTTCCGACTCCTGGGAGGGTGCCTTCATCCCTTGTTATGACGACACCCCCATGGACGTCGAGTCCCACCTTGGCCTAGACCAGGTTGCAGACTGGCCCTGGATGAGGACTTCAGCAAACTTTCTCTGACTCCGTCCTTCCGACCCCCACGCTATAAATGAGGCAGCTACCCAGTCCTCTCTTTCCAGGTCGCTTCAGATGAGGAACTGCTCCGAATGACTAGGCCCAACTGCTCCACCTCAATGCAAGTTTCTGACAATAATCTCGCCTACATGGAGACTAAGATTCGCCACACTCTCAAACCTCTCACTTATGGGGGCGTCCTCCAGAGCCATTCTCCACGACTTAGGATAGACGACCTGACCACCCATGTATCCTACCTCCAGCAACAAATCGAGCATATTGGCTCCGATATGCGCGCCGCCCTGATTGAGCTTACAACCTTGGCTACCTTGCTCCATCGGACTGGGACCCAGAGTTCAAGAGAGATCTCCTTTGTCAACCATGGTTCTCTCCTGACATATTTAACGGACAGATCACCAAGACTCACTCCCGAGCCTCAGCCTTGGCTCGAGACTAGAAGGCTCTCAAGGCCTTGGCTAGGGTGTCACAGCCAGCCTTCTCTGCGATGTCCCAGTCTGGCTCCTACCAGCCGTGATGCAACTCCCTCAGGGGCGGGGCTCCACCTCAGCCTCTCAGGGCAAAGGTAAAGGCAAGTCCTCGGGCTCATACCAGTCCTGCCACGGCCACTCCAAGGAAGGAGGCGCCGACCGCAGGGACTTCAAGTGAATCGCCAGACACGCATGACAGGGACCTCCCACCCCCAGTCGTCCAAATTGTCGACATTTCAGTAGGTGGAACACAGGGTCAACTCTGTCAGAATTGGGAGATCCTGGGGGACCCATATGTCACCAACATCCTCCGACGTGGGTACAAGCTGGCTCATAAAGACGACCCGCCTCCCACGTCGTCCTCTATAGCGGACACCTCCCCTCCATAGCGGCTACTAGGCCAGAACATCATCTTACTTCAAGATGACCACGCTCAGGCTGCTGCGATCCCGGATCCAGGCACAGGATGTGCTTATCAGCCTGGATATTGAGGACGCCTACCTACATGTCCCAATACATCCCGACGACCGGAAATACATCCCATTTGGAATTTCTTTCTTTTGCTTATCTTAGCCAGCTCTCGGAACCAGGGAACGACTCACTTGGCCTCGCTCCTTCAACAGACCTTCCGAATTCATTCACCTGGTGGATCATCTGGGGTTCAAGGTCCAACACATTCCAGGCTGCCAAAACATCCTAGCGGATGCTCTATCTTAGCCAGGCAAGGTTTCCCCCACAGAGTGGAAGCTCCACCCAGATGCCTTCTATCTTGCTTGTCGAGACCACGGTCTCCCCAACGTAGACCTATTTGCCACCAGCCAGAACAGACCCCTGGGAAGGACCAACAGTGTACGCTTTTCCGCCACCTGTACTCCTTCCCAGGGTCATCCAGAAGATCAGATCGACACAGAACCTTGATCTGACTTTGGTCGCGCCCTGGTGGCCGGCAAGGGTTTAGTTTGTCGATCTCAGTAAGCTAGCCGACTCAAACCTGCTGCCACTCCAAGATTGGCCAAACCTGCTGATCATCCCTCACAGCAGGCAGCCGCACCTAGGACCAGACAAGTTATATCTTCATGTCAGGTCCATTTACAGAGAGCACTGAACGCCAAAGGCTACTCGGCCAGAGCGGCAAAGGCCATCACGATGGAGCCTTGCCCAACCACTTGGAGCCGCTATGGTGACAAGTGGCAATCCTTCGAGAGCTTTTGCAGGGGCAAACAACAAGACCCCACTACTGCATCACCTCTATTCCTGGCCGAGTTCATGCTCTATCTCAGAAGCTCAAGGGTAGAACCATCACAACCTACCTTGTGGTACTCAACTCTGTCCTTTGCAGTTCCGGAAGATTGGCACATGACGAAAATTCTGGAACTACAGGATCTGCTCCGCTCATTCAGGTTGGAAGACCTAAATCCACCAGCTTGGGATGTCATTCTCAACTCGATTAGAGACTTACTACCGGCACTAGCTACTGCAGCCCGTTTCAGTGAGCTACACGCCTTGGACCTCGTGAGTGGAAGTCAGCCACAATACGATCACCCTCTAGCTGCGAGCCATCACTCTCGAGGCCTACGAGGCAGCAGGATTGGCCCCCCCACACTCCAACAACCCGCATGAGATCCGGGCAGTCGCCTCCACAATGGCGCTTCACAGCAACTGCTCTCTACGTGCCATCATGGAGGGGTGTTTCTGGGGTGTCCTCGCCAGTCACTACCTGCGAGACGTCGCATTGGAGGAAGTGCAAGGCACTCATAGTTTTGGTCCATTAGTACTGGCCCAACAGGTCACCACTACTAAACGCCATTTACATCGCCTCAAAGTCCAGAGCTGGCCTCTCGACCTCCTCTGGCTTAAATGCCCTGGACTAGAAGGTTCATGCCCCACTTGCATACGGCTCGGTACACCAGTCTAAAACATTAACTTGAGAGGGTTATCGTCTATGGCTGCGTAGTACCTGGACACACCGCATACCTGACTCTTGGTTCCCATCCGTGAAATGGTCATTGATGCCGACCATACAGCCGAGGACCTGCTGAGGGAAACGGTGGTTCCCATAAATGGATTGGTCACTCGAAGCCGACTACACAGCCGAGGATTGGCTGAGGGAACAGAGATCTGAGATGTAAGTCCAAATCTGAAGGTAATCCATAAAGAGGCATTAAGGCGTAATGCAGGATAAGTAAAAAATCCAGTAAAATCCTAGATATTTTTATATATTTGTATACTTATCCTGCATTACTGCGTTCTAAAGAGACCCACCCATCGCAGAGCTGCCTCCCCACAATGCCTTCCGATGTTCCGGACTCAAGAGTAATGTGAGGATCCATGACGTCACTTCCTTTGGTCACGTGGGAGCTATCTGACAGGGTTGGCCTCTCAGCTAGTTGGAACAACTTCTTCAAGCAAAGACCTTCACACAGCTCTTTTCTCTGTCAAGACAAGCAGTAATATGCATTAAGGAATAATGCAGGATAAGTATACAAGTTTTTTACTAGTTTTGTCCAAATTATTAGGATGGATAAGGGATACATCTCTACATCAGGTAAAAAGCAAATGTGAAAAATGAGTCCCTACTGTGGAACACAATCTTCATGATGATTGCTCCACTTTCCTTGTCTTGTCTTCAGATTCTACACGCGAGACTCTGGGCTGTTGATGTTTAAGATCTACGCAGGAGTACTGAGCCGCAACCCGCCTCCCGCTGCAAGACGCCTTGTTGCCTTCACCTTTCATCCTAGTGAACCATTTGCAATCAGTGTACAGAGGACTAATTCTGAATATGTTGTCAATTTTCACATCAGACATTGTGTTTCCAGCTGACAGATACCGGTAACCGCTTCCTAGGAGGTTAGAATCCTGAGATTGTACCCATTTTCAGAGACCATATACTGATCGGTGTATTGTCTCTGCCAATGTTCAAATGCAAATTAATCCTTGTAGTTTAATGAGAAAAAACTTTTGGTTTTAATATGAAGCACTGATAACCCGGACGATATCCCGTCAGTGAAATAGTTCAGATTGACAGGTACAAAATAATACATAATTAGATGTCCCCAACAAAACACATAACGAAGGGTTTTCTGATAAACATGCTTCACTGAACATTTGGACAATTAAAGCGGTAATGATGACCATTAATGTAAACACCAGTTTCTCCATATGGTCATAGTCATGAAGGACTTGAAGCTTGTACATCCACCATGTGTTACTGTCATTGATTACAAACGCATTAAATAAATGTCTTGCTGCTCACAAGAGCGATGGTCATGTTCTGTCTTGTTATCATTGTCTACGGTTGCCTTGTCAAAGTCTTGTCTGAATTGATATTTATTAGGTTCTGATTCCTTTGAAATATTAGAAACAAAACAGTTTCTAGAACTGATTTGTGTTTGAGTGAAAGTGGTTATGAAAACCTGAAGTGGTTTCAAGATTATTCCAGGCAAGATCAACATTTAAGTTGGGCCATTGTAGACGATGTTGCAAAAGTTTTTTTCGCATTTTCAAAGACACTCTTGCCTAAAATCTGCTAAAACTGTGTGTGGCACTGTATGCTTGTCATTTGGAAGTTATGGTTTGAAAACAGGTATCCCTTATTTGCTGATTGCATATGTTTTTTTTCTTTTGAAGGGAGAGAATTGTTTGTTGCATGGTGTTTGTTCCCTTGTTCATGTGACAGAGAGGGCTGTGGGTATGGAAATGGTACATGTATTGATAATTGCAGTAGTTTGGAGTGTACCAACCTTGGCTTGTATCACACATCAGGGCCACAGTTGCCTAGATTCAGGGATCAGCAGGAGTGTTGCGAGACGAGACAGCTGTAGTCTTTTATGAAGATATTCAATGTATTCTGAATAGATTAAAACATGGTGTATTTTACATAAATTAGTCATTAGCATAAAATGGTAAAGTACTTACAAGATGCATTCATATTTCATTTTGATAATTTCATTACGATATATCTTTCAAAATTATCAATACTGCTAACATCTTAAAGCCATATCCGAGCCATAACTCAAGAACCGTTCTACAGTTTTCACTGAAACTTGCCATATGCCTTGCTCATCAGCTTAACTGGTGTCTTTTGCTATTTTGAAATTTTTCAAACTTTATTTATTTTATTTTTTTCCATGGAAACAATTTGGATTTAATCTCAAACTCTGGGCATTTTCGAGGCATAACTCTCTAACAAATGAGTATTTCTGCATGAAACTATGTATGTGAAATGACTGCATGCTCAACTATACATATATACTCACACGCAAAAGAAACGCAAATGGTTTTAAGCTAATAGGTAACAAACACGGAACCATAAATTGATACGAGTTTTAGCCTGTAGTGAAGCCTGATGGTGTTATCAATATTTTTGGTTGTATTTTTGAAGTCCCGAGTAAAATCGCAACATAAAAAACGAATCGCCAAAACACACCATTTCAATGAATATGTGGGTATCATGCACCCATTTCTCGCAAAATCGAAAATGCACGAACTGTCACGAACTGTAGTGGGTATAAAACTGTGGCTGATTCTTGGACCTACCACTCCTTGGTCAACAATGCTAACTCAAATTCAGAGAAACCAGGCTATCAGACGTTTGGAAGCTGGAGAGTCAGTCAAAGATGTTGCCCGTCATTTCAACGTTAACATAACCACAATTTACCGTCTCCTGCATCGATACAATGCTACACAGACCACAGATGACCTTCCACAGAGCGGTCGTCCTAGGGTCACCACACCTCGACAAGATCGGCAGATTACCCGTCTACACCAGCGACATCCGTTCCTAACTGCAAGTGAAAGTGCTCAACAGACCATAGGAACACATAATGGACACATTAGCCGGGACACTGTGATCCGACGTCTCTGTTCCAACAACCTCAGATGTCACCGACCAGCACGTCGTCCTGTTCTCAAACCACGGCATCGACAAGCACGATTTCAGTAGGCACAGGGTCTAGCAATAGCGTCATTGTGAGTGGAGGCGTGTCATCTTCTCTGATGAAAGTCACTTTTGTGTCTCCCATGCAGACGGAAGAGTCAGAATTTGGCAGCGTCGAGGTGATCGTTGTGGAAAGGGATCCATGGGGTGGACCTAGCGTCATGATATGGGCAGGGATTGGACGTAATGCGGGACTTGGACCAATGTGCTTTCTGAATGTTGGTCAAGGTCGGGACACGACGTCACTGCTCAGCGGTATATCGACCAAGTGATCAGACCCCACGTTGTTCCATTTTTTGCGCAACATCAACAACACATTGCAGGACAACACTCGTACCCATGTTGCCAGAGCTACCATGGCCTTTCTGCAATAACACATCATCCGTGTTCTACCGTGACCAGCCCTCAGCCCTGATCTGAACCCCATCGAACACTTTTTATGATGAGGTTCAAAGGCGTCTGCACAATGTGCGCCCAGTCCCTACAACTGCTGATGAACTACGCACAGCTGCTCTGGATGTGTGCAGGAGGATCCCTAGGGCCTTCACAAATCGTCTGATCCACTCAATGTACAGGAGATGTGTGGCAGTGATCAATGCTAATGGTGGTCACACCAGGTATTGACTGACATTTTGGGTATTGACCCGAAACTGTGTAAGCCCTTAACATTTGCCTTTAAATCCATTAAACTCTCTCCAGTCAAATTTTTGTCAATCTTGCCCTATTAGTTTTTCATGTCTTTACTGTTGAAAATATATAACATGTATACTGCACATGCGTGTGAGTATAGTTCAATTCACTAAGTCTCGAACAAGTAGCATTTGTTTCCCGCAAAAACTTGACAGCTAATGAATATGTCTGCATGAAACCATTTCCTTTCCAGACTATAATTTGCCATTATTTTGGATTTACAAACACGTGAAATCTGAAGTAACAACTTGAACTAATGTATCAAAACAAATGAGGGGAAAGACATATGTTTTTTGAGTAATAACACGTTCTAGATCATCATTGTGTCAGTTACAATCCTTATGTAGATTATTGATCAACCAAAGCCATCATCATGAGAGGCAGACTGATGTTATTATCCCCCGCCACTAAGTGGTCGGGTGATATAGGAAAGGGTGCCTGCCGTCTGTATGTCCTTCCGTCGGTCTGTCCATCCGTGACATTTCGTTTCTGGATCAGTACACACAAAAAACAATGAGAGATATCTTATCCAAACCTGGCACATAGATAGGTCCAGTGGTGAACTGGTGCCTTTTGATAGTTTGGGATTTAAAAAAAATAATTTTTCGAGTTTCTCTGGCAACGACTTTGACTTAGACTGAAAATGGCAGAAGTGCTTGTTTCCAGGGCAGATCTTGAAAACCGTACAATATTTCTTCACCAAACTTGGCACATAAATGGGTCTAGTGGAAAACTGGTGCCTTTTGATACTTTGGGATTTTAAAATTTTTTTTTAAAAATTGAGTTTTCCTGGCAACAACTTTGACTTAGACTGAAATAACTGGTAGTTCTCATCTCCAGATCAGATCTTGAAAACCCTCCAATAATTTTCACCAAACTTGGCACATAAATTGAAGTAAACAAAAAAGCATTGGATGAGATGACTAGATTGTGGAATGAAAGACTTCACCTGGACACACCCGGTAGAGAAGAACAGTCATGGCGATGGACTCAGGTGGCTCACTCAATGTTCGATCCCTCAATGCTCATTTCAAAGATGTGAAGAAGGGTAAGTTTCTTGGAGTGATTCATATTTTATGTTTCACAGAAACGGACATGGAAATAATTACAGTGAAAGAGACCTGCAAGGATATCAAGTCTATCCAGGAGACACGACACATGATATTGCTGTGCATGTTTCAACAAGTTTCAAGAACAGTGTCCAGCTATGTGATGTAATGTCATCTCGCAGTATTGAATACATGTGTGTATGTTCCTCCAAAAGTGTCATGGACACGGTTGTCGGTTGTGAACATGTCCTAGTTACTGGGGATTTCAACTGTGATCTGAGTGAAAAACTGAAACTTGAAGATTTCTTTTATAAGCTGAAAATGACTCAACTCATTCTCCAACTCACTGTCTGGGTGCTACACTGGACTTGTTGTTTACTGATCCTGCCAGTGCTGTAGCATTCCAGACTCCAGTCTACTACTCAGATCATCAGATGATTGGTGCTGTACTTCTCAGTACACCTCATGTGACCCCCTCTTTCTAAGTAAAGTAAGGACTCCCTTATTTCTCTGATTATTGTTAAAGTAGTAACACAACTCATTACAATTACAGTTACGTATTCTATCATAAACTGCAGATCGCAAAACAACGCCAGTAATAACTTTTTTAGTGCTTCAATTAGGCCATTTACAAAAAGGCCCAGTGAACATATAGTTCACAGAAGCTAATGCATTGCACACAACCGGACATGTCATACTGGCGGGGGATATGAGTATTTCATGCTTGTTAATCATTGGATGTCTGCACACAAGTCCATGTGTACTCAGATGTTGTTTGTCATAATGTGTACTGAGGTTGTGGTACATGTGAAATATGGCTTTAATTGTATGTCATTACAAGCATCACGTTAAGCGTATCAGGTAGGCAGACAGGTCGTCAGTACCTAATGTGTCACAAACCAGGATGTAACATTTTGGAATTGGATTGATGCATTTTTATGACAAGTTAACACACAAGAGGACGATGGATGCAAATCCCCAAAGCCTTTTGTTTTTGGTACTGCTAGTTAAGGGGGGTACACCCCCCCAGCACCACCCCTACGGATCTGTAAGTTAAGGGGGATATGCACCCTGCACCGCCCTTACAGATCTGTAAGTTAAGGGGGGTACACCCCCCTGCACTGCCCTTACAGATCTACAAGTTAAGGGGAGTACACACCCCTGCAACGCCCCATCCCATCTTTAAGTTAAGGGGGATATGCACCCTGCACACTCCCTATGTATCTGTAAGTTAAGGGGGGTACACAAACACCCCGGACCGCCCTTACAGATCTGCAAGGTAAGGGGAGTACACCCCCCACCCCCCACCCCCCACCCACCCCCAAACTGCCCTTACAGATCTACAAGTTAAGGGGGGTACACACCCCTGCAATGCCCCATCTGATCTGCAAGTCAAGGGGGGTACACCCCTGCACTACCCCTATGTATCTGTAAGTTAAGGGGGGTACATCCCTGCACTACCCCTATGGATCTGCAAGTTAAGGGGGGTACACCCCAGCACTACCCCTATGGATCTGCAAGTTAAGGGGGGTACACCCCTGCACTACCCCTATGGATCTGCAAGTTAAGGGGGGTACACCCCTGCACTACCC